TTAATTTATTTTTTTTGCCCAGTAATTTTATGTTGTCTGTTTTAATTTCTCTGGATTCTGTGTTTTATGATTTAACAGAGATTTATTATCAAAAATGGTGGTAATCTTGTGATTGCATAAAACTTTAACTTTAACAACGAGATTAATTAATCTTTTAAAATGTAATCAAATTAAATCTGAACAATCCTTTTTTTGGGGGGCCAAACAAAGTGCTACATGACAGAAGTTTATGGTTTAAAAAAAAAAACATAAATATTGTGTGATATTCCTTACAAATAATATTTTGATATTATTTTTATTATTTATTATTATTAGTTTTAATAAATTGTATTATTATTATTATTAATATTAGTAGTATTCCTATACATTACTAAATTATTAAAAAATTCCATGACATCCTGTTCTCATTTTCCACATCACAGAAATCATGGGGCTCTACATTACATACAAAAAAAAAAAACTTCTCAAAGAAGAGCTTAGTGAACAATGAAATCATACTGCAACTCTCAGAATTAAAAGCAACACCATCATCAGAAGTAGAACAGATGTATTATTATTATTATTATTATTCCTAAAGCGGTGTGATACCTGCTCGTCCACCGGTACGGGGCTCCCCCGCGCCTCCAAACTCTGCTGCCCCTCTTCAACCTTCAAAACACAAGCGTGGCGTCAGCGGTGATGTGAGAGCAGTATCAGCTCGTGTAAAGCAGGGTTCGAGGTCTTACCATGACCCCGGGACGAGCGAGCAGAGAGGATCTCAGTCCCACAGACGGCAAACGCACCGACCGACCTGAGAGACGCGTGATTAACATTCACTACAAGACACCAAATCACTGAATATAATCATAGTTGCACTCACTTCAACACACTTTACCATGCTTCAATCCATTAAGGTTCTAGGTTTATTCACATTGTTTTAATAATTTGGCCGATGCTATTACAAACAGGACTGAACTGACATAATCAATGAAACATTTCATAATCAATGAGGCGTTTGGCTGTTGCTGAATCATGCCTATCGTTTCGAAGCAGATCAATACAGTGAGACTCAAGCTATTGATCGTATGGATTTACCTTATACAGGCACTCCAGTGATTCAACACTAGATGAGAAAACCAAAAGACTATTATTATGTTTTGCATTAAAAAATGAAATCATTTTACTACCATTAAGATTATTTTCATGGCAATTAATCAAATTCACGTGTAAATTCTCATTACTGTAAAACAGAGTATACTAACTAAAACTAAAATGTGACCCTGGACCATAAAACCAGTCATAAGTGTCAATTTTGTGAAATTGAGATTTATACCTCATCTGAAAGCTGAATAAATACGCTTTCCATTGATGTATGGTTTGTTAGGATAGGACATTATTTGGCCGAGATACAACTATTTGAAAATCTGGAATCTGAGGGTGCAAAAAAATCGAAATATTGAGAAAATCATCTTTAAAGTTGTCCAAATGAAGTTCTTAGCAATGCATATTACTAATCACAAATTAAGTTTTGATATATTTACAGTAGGACAACAAAATAAATAAATAAAAAAGATAAACTCAAATATAAATATAAAAGTTTAAACTCAAAATATTAATACAAATTATAAAAGCATCTAAATGATACTAAAATAACACTGTTATATAAAATAAAATAATACACAATTGTGTTCTATTTAAATCAGCACAAAGAAATGAATTAAAAAAAAATTTACTTTACAATTTAAATATATAATTTCATAGAATCAAAATATAAATATTTATATACATTTTTTTGTTCTCTCTCTCTTCTCTGACCTCGACAGACTTCATGAGATCTACAAAGCACCCGACACAGAGATTTATGAATGATTTTACAGGCGTCATGTAAGATCTCGCCGATCTTAGAGACTTAATAACTGCAATATCTCTTATCTTATCTTTATAAAAAAAAAAAGCGAAAATGTGTGATGGGATTTTCATTAATGCAATTCATATGAAATAAAACGGCATGAAAGCATTAGTTTCCCATTCCAAACAACCACAAAATCCCATCATATGTCTCATCAATGTCAGCACAAGACAAGATTTTAAAGGGGTCATATGATGCAATTTCATTTTTTCCTTTCTCTTTGGAGTGTTACAAGCTCTTGGTGCTAATGTTGTTTTTAGCAGCATCATATGACCCCTTTAATTTCACTGTGTGTTGATGCATCAGAAAACAATAAATATGAATCCTCAACTATGCAGAAAGAGCAAGTTAACTCAACGAACCGCAAATCTTCGTCTGTAACACACATGCACACATTCCATGCACGGCATTTCTGACACACGATGTTAAAGTGAAGGTCTACAGACCTGGTTCTGGTTCTGGATCTGGATCTGGATCTGGTTCTGGATCTGGATCTGGATCGGTCTCTCTGTGTGTCGAGAAGACGCTCAAAGAAGGAAAGAAAGTCTGCAAGAGAGGAGAGGTTAAAAAGGACAGTTAAACATTAAAAACCAAATTAAGCAAGCATGCAACATAATCAGATCATGTGACAATGAAGCACACTTCAGTTTCATTTATCGTTGCATCACAGACTACTTGAGGAAAAAACAGGGCTCTACGGTGCGACCATTTCAGTCGCATTTGCGTGCGACTATGAAATAATATTTAGGAGCACCTGTGCGACTGACCCGATCAGCATATTTGTGTTTGCTCTGAGGGAGCTTCAAAGGTTCTAACGTACTTGTGTGTTTCTGCAGCGGTTGAGTAATGTATCACAGACGTATCCTCTCATTATAACACAGTGTTGACAGGGTGTAAATAAGAGATTCATTGTGCAGTGTAGGGAGCTTCGTCGATTATAATGTTTTTGTTATAAAATAATGAGTTTTGTGAGATCGCGATGAACTAAGATGAGTGACAACTTTTAATGATTATTAAGGGAGTTTGCAAATGTGATATTGATTTAATACAACAGTTCATTAAACAAGAAGACTTATATTGTCTGACAACACAATTGCCTTATTTTGCTCTATTTCGTCAACGAAAATAGTTTCAAACAAAGTAACAGCTGAGCCTCTGCACATCTCCATTCAAACTCCAGCGGTGATTCGTTTATGAATGAACTGCGTTTTTAAACGAATCTAGTGAGTCAGTGATTCAATTACCCATTCATAAAGACAGTCACGCACTTCGTTCCTGAATGAATCAGCCGTTCGAACGAATCAATTAAATGAATGATTCAGTGATAAAATCAGTGACTTGCCGCCACTTGCTGGCAGTTTTAGTTTAATTTTTA